ATTTTGGTGCGAGAACGTTTGCATAAATGAAAGTCTAAAAGTGTCAGTTCAATGTTGGCTAAGGATAGAATCCTGTGTATATTTTAATCTAGCACTCCATATGAGAGTTTTTTGCGAGAAAATTGTACAGCTAAATCAGGCTTGAGAGTAACAACTGCTCGATCAGTTAAAAGTTAAGTTGAAACATCGATAGCTTCTAACCCGGTTAATTTCGAAAGATTCGACTTTTCTCTGGGAATAATTCATCCGTGTGGTAAAATCATTGCGTCGAGAATAATGTCGGTAAAATCTTATCGAAACGGCCGATAGTTTCTCGTAAGAGACCCTTCAATGGTTTCGCACAGATCTAACGATTACGATTAAAAAATGACTGAAATACTGATTCGCATAATTAACTCTGACAAGTTAATTCAACTTCAACTCAATCTTCAGTCAGTTTTCATTCGAGAGTCACTTTTAGCTCGAGCAGCTTCATTTGGTAAGTCCTTAACTCGAAAGTAGTCAAAGAAAGAGTAACACTAACTTACCCGAGCTCTCTCTGAGAGCCGAGTGAACTTGGACATCGTTGTTTCTCTCGACGCAGCGGCCGCTTACCTGCCTCGGTGATTTATTTCGCGACTAGCGCTGATCAGCATCGCCCGTTTAGAGCGGCTCCTCTCGACAAGGAGAGTCTCGCGCTACCGGACCGTTGCGCTACGACTTGCTGGACACAGCCCTCTTGCCATCTGATTCCAGAACGGCGGGACGAGGGTAGCGAGTGCGGCAGCGAAGTGAAACAAGAACCGGACAACGATCCCGAGCCGGAAGCGGAGACCGAGAACGATCCGGAGGATATAGCGTGCATGTACTGTACGTACCAGCCGACGTCGAGGGAGGAATTGCGGCAGCATATGCAAGTGGCTCACATTCAAGACACGGAGGAAAAGGCCGAGGCAGTGAAGGAGGAACCGTCCCCGGAACTGCTGTGCCCGCTGTGCCAAGACAGCTTCAAGGAGCGCCCCGCTCTGGAGAAACACGTGATGCAGATCCACTCGGTGAATACGGACGGCCTGCAGAGGCTATTGCTGTTGGTCGACCAGAGTCATTGGCTGAACAACAACCCGCGCAACACCTCGACACCGGCGGTCACGACGCCGACGTCGCCGACGACCACGACGAAGCCGCAGCAAGAGGAGGAGATGAGCGAGCGGGGTGGCAACGACGAGATCGAAGAGATGACGAGATGCAGCGTATGCGGTCGGGTGTGTCGGTCCATCGAAGAGCTGCAGCAACATCACCGCGAGGCGCATCCAGCCACGACGCCGACGCTGGCGGTCAGCGAGAAGCACGTGTACAAGTACCGCTGCGGCCAGTGCAGCCTGGCGTTCAAGACCCTGGAGAAGCTCCAGCAGCATTCTCAGTACCATGCGATCAGGGACGCGACCAAGTGCGCCCTCTGCGCGCGGTCATTTCGCTCGGTCCAGGCGCTGCAGAGACACCTGGAGTCCGCCCACGGGGACTTCCACGAGGACGAGATGAACCAATGCAAGCAGGCCATGATTCACGTGCACCCGCTGCTCCAGGCGTTCACAGAGGAGGCGCTGAAGAAGCAAAGCGGCCTGGCTGGCGAGCAGAACGCCGAGGAAGAGGCCGGTAGGGGTGACGAAGAGGAGAGCGATGCGAGCGACTCGTCGCCGTTGCACAGAGAGCAGCGTCTACTGGAGGATTACCTCAATAGCCCACAGGTGGCCGAAGACAGCTACCACGACCCAAGCCGAAAGTTCAAGTGTCACCGGTGTAAAGTAGCCTTCACACGCCAGAGTTACCTCAGCGGCCACAACAAGACCTTGATGCACCGCAAAGGCGAGAAGATGTCTTATCCCATGGAAAAGTACCTCGACCCGAACCGACCGTACAAGTGCGACGTTTGCAAGGAGAGTTTCACACAGAAGAACATACTCCTGGTGCACTACAACAGCGTGAGCCATCTGCACAAGCTGAAGCGGGCGATGCAGGAGCAGGGTAACAACAACACGCTGATCTCGGTGGTGCCTCCGGCGAGCCCGACCGAGTCGCCCGACTCCCAGCAGGACCAGGATAAGAAACCCTACAAGTGCAACATTTGCAAAGTCGCCTACTCCCAAGGTAGCACCCTCGACATCCACATGAGAAGCGTACTCCATCACACGCGCACCAGCAAGCTGCCGGATCTCGCGGCCAGCGGCCAAGTGGACCTCGCACGGCCGTTGATCGAGCAACCACCGCCGAGCAGCCCGAACAGCCCGCCCGTCAACACCAACATCAGCAACACCGCCGGCGGCATGCTATCTTGCCCGCGCTGCAGCGCCCTTTTCGTCAACCAGGAGCAGCTGGCGACGCATCAGCAGCTCTACTGCATCTTCAGCAGCCCGCTGGCGTTGTTTCAGTTGGCGGCGACGCAACAATTGGCCTCGTCCGCCCCGGCCAAGACCCCACCGCCCACGTCCACGACTCCGGGACCTCAGCAGTATACGCAACAGTCCGCCCAGCATTCGCAAACGCCGGACATCCTCTCACAGCCGCGGCACAAGACCTCGCAGATGTACAAGCACCTGCTCGAGAGCTTCGGCTTTGACCTCGTGATGCAGTTCAATGAAAATCACCAAAGACGCCAGCGGAAGGAGGAGGAGGTGGCCGCGGCTCTCCAGGCGCAGCAGGAACAACAGAAGCAAGAGCAACAGAAACAGGCTTTGGCCGCTCAAGCCGCGCAGGAGCGAGAGGAAGAAGCTGAAGAGCATACCGACGACGACGTGATACCCGAACTGACGCGTAGCACTTGCCAGCACTGCAACAAGGAATTCAGCAGTGTCTGGGTGCTTAAGGCCCACTGCGAGGAAGTGCATCGCGACCTGGTGCCCCGAGAGTTCCTCGAGAAATATGTGCAGCAATTCAAGTGCGAGTACGAGAAGAAAAGCGTCGTGGTGACCGCCGCGACGTCCTCGTCCACCACCACCACCGCGCCGCGCAGCTCGACACCAGCCGTCGCACAGCCGCAGGACCTCACCTCCGACAGGGAATCGCGCGAGAAGGAGAAGGAGGAGAGCGACAGCAAAGAACGCATCAGCCGGACTCCGGAGGCCACCTCCACCACGCCGGCGACCACTCCGGCGCTGAGCAACACCCCCGTTTCGAGCACGGACTCCACGACGGCCACTGTGCTGCCCACCAATACGCAGCATCATATTCAGCAGCAGCAGCAGCAGCAGCAGCAACAACAGCAGCAACACCAGCAGCAGCAGCAGCAGCAGCAGCAGCAGCAGCAGCAGCAGCAGCAGCAGCAGCAGCAGCAGCAGCAGCAACAACAACACGCTCAGCTCACATTAGCGCAACAGATGTCCGAAATGCAAGCCGCTCTTAACGCAATGGCGGCGTCGCAGCTGCAACATCAACTGCAGCAATATCCCGGCCTGATGATGGGCATGATGGGCTTGCCGTTGGGTCTCAACGCCCACGCATTAGCCGCCATGAACTTGCAGCCGCCTTTAGTGCCAATGATGTTGCCACCGCCACCGTATGACAGCGCCGCGGCCGCATATCCTTCGATCAACGCGCAAGCGGACCTTCTCGCCAAGCAGCACCTCGCCCTTCAGCAACAACAAGCGGCAGCAGCGGTAAGTCTCTTGCGAATACATACATGGCTTCGTTCGTTGATAGTACATTGATAGTAGCAGCGCGTCTATATACCGACTACTTTCTCATCTCCAGTTTGGGGACCAAACTTTGGACCCGGAGGTTTTCAGGCTTGGGAGAGTTTTACGCGGAGAGAATGTCGGGATGAAAATTGTGGTTTCTTTCTTTTCTCGTGACTCTTTGTAAAATTATACCACGTTGATGCTGTAGCGTGAACGATTATAGAAACAGCAAGAAAGCAACAGAACGTTGAAGTTAATTGTGGGTGGTAGGAAGTCAAACCTATCTTCGAACAGATATGTAGTAGTCTCGGCCGTAATTTTTCCGTACGGCTCGGGATTGAAAAAATTCTGTTGCAATTTCTGTCGCAATTTTCTCTCCGCGTTTGAAAGTTAACTCATTATCGTTGTTCATTATCGTTACTCAAAAAGCAACGTTGCAATAAGTTCAAAAAGAGACGTTGCAATATTTTTGTTATCTTTTCTCGGTCAGATTTCGAAGATTTTTATTTTTTCATTAGAATTCGTTCCTGCCTATTCGATATGTGTATATTGAGTAACGGTAAAAGTAACGAAGATTATACTCGTTATCATTATCGAAGTAATGTAGATAGCTAGCGTCACTGTCACGTAGCGGCGCAAAATAACGTCATTACCGAGCCGCTGTTGAAACATGTAACTCGCGACGTGACGCGAGTTACTTCCCAACTCTGAAAACGTCTTATTAGACAGAGAGATTAATCGAATGTGGATAAATTTCGTATAATTTGTTCAAAAAGTACAACACTGGCCCAGATTCATAGCCGAAAAGTTTTGAAGCCATTTTGGACTTGACATCAAGTTTATGATGCGTAGATTTTACCTCGACTCTTTGTCTTCGGTCGCGTTTGCTCCAGCAAACCCACTCTCTCTGTTGTTAATTTTCAACGGACCGTATCTGGATCTGGAATCTGAAATCCGACCGCTTGCATATTTGTAATCTACTATAAGCTTTATTTTAAGCCCAAGATGGTTTCAAAAATTTCTGACAATAAATCCGGGTCATTTTTGGCCGCACTCTTTCGTCCGACAATCTTCTTTGCGACACAATCGTTAGTTTCACCCTCATTAAGGCGTGAAAACAAGGATGTAAAATAGAACACGAGAATATATGACACGGTTCTATAATGCGTGTGAAAAACACGATACCGTGAAAAACTGGAAGATCGCTGAGAAGAAAGAAAGAAAAAGGAAAACGAAGAGATCGGAATCTCTCTCGCGAGAAAGAAAGGGGGTAAAACGGGAATTTGCTATTGCAGGCGAACGCTGCAGCATCACAGAAACGAGCACGTACGCGTATCACCGACGAACAACTAAAAATATTACGAGCGCACTTCGACATTAATAATTCGCCCGGGGAGGAGCAGATTCTAGAGATGGCTGCTCAAAGTGGTCTGCCACCGAAAGTCATAAAGCATTGGTTCCGTAATACGCTGTTCAAAGAGCGACAGCGCAATAAGGATAGCCCTTACAACTTCAACAACCCGCCGAGCACCACTCTGAATCTCGAAGAATACGAGAAGACCGGCGAGGCGAAGGTGACTTCGTTAAACTCCAGCGTGTCGGGCAATAGTTCCTCCGACGACAAGAGCCCGAACAAGCAGGCCACGCCACCGCCTGCGACGACCATGCAGAATGTCAGCACCTCGCAGCAGCAACCGGCCGAGATCAAGCAGGAGGCACCTGAGCAGGCGCAGTGCCTGCAGCAACAGCAGCAGCAGCAGCAGCAGTCACAGCATCAAGAAGACCAGCAGCACCACTCCCCCGGTAGCTCGGGCGGCCAACAATCGCGGCCGCACTCGCCGGCTCTCAGTATGAGCTCCGTGTTCTCCGGCATCCACCACGACGTTTCATCCCACCCACCGTCGACCACCAGTGCCCCGAGCACTCCCATGTTACCCCCGCCGAAACTGACACCCCAGAACTTCGCCAATCCCAGTCCGGCTGCAGCCGGTGTTGTGCCGAGCACGATCGCTGCAATGGCGCTCACCCCGCAACGATCCCTCAGCCCGGGTCGTGGGCCGACGGACTATTCCTTCGTCGGCAACAGCAACGGCAGCAATTCCTCCGGCAGTAACTCCGGCAAGCGTGCCAACCGTACGAGATTCACCGACTATCAGATCAAGGTTCTCCAAGAGTTCTTCGAGAACAACGCTTACCCGAAGGACGACGACTTGGAGTACCTCAGCAAGCTGCTCAGCTTAAGCCCGCGTGTCATCGTCGTATGGTTTCAGAACGCCCGGCAGAAGGCGCGCAAGGTCTATGAAAATCAACCGGCGCCCGAGCTAGTAATACCAGGCGGGCGCGAGAGCGACGATGGCAATGGTAATGCGCCTGGCAGATTTCAGAAAACAGGCTCGACCTACCAGTGCAAGAAGTGCCTGTTGATCTTTCAAAAGTATTATGAGCTTGTGCGCCACCAAAAGTCTCACTGTTTCAAGGAGGAGGACGCCAAGAGGAGCGCGCAGGCCCAGGCCGCTGCGGCGCAAGTCGCTGCGATCCTCAGCTCGGAGGACAGCAACAGCAGCTCCACAACAACAGCAAACAATACGGTGACGGGCAACAACCCGTCGACGGTGTCCGCTTTAGCCGAGCAACTGCAGCAGTCGTTGAACACCGTCACGCCGCCACACCATCAGCAACAGACATTGGCTCAGTCACAGCATCAACAGCCGCAGCAGCAGTCTCAGCAGCAGCAGCAGCAGCAGCAGCAGCAACAGCAGCAGCAGCAGCAGCAGCAGCAGCAGTCGCAGTCGCAGTCGCAGACGGAGGCGAAGGAGGGCAGCTTCCAATGCGACAAATGCAATCTGATGTTCGGACGTTTCGACCTTTGGCGTGAGCACCAATTGGTACATATCATGAACCCGTCCTTGTTCCCGCCCTCGTACCCACCTGATTCGCCCTTCGGAATCCTGCAACAACAAGCCCTTAACGCTACCAGCGGAGTCACCGCCGAGCCTCATTCACTCATCAGCCTGATGCAGGAGCGCAAGAGGAAATACGATGACTTCGAGGAGAGCATGACAGGTGACAATCGCTCCAATTCCGAGCACAACGAGCAGCCGAAGGACAAACGTTTGCGTACGACTATTTTACCGGAACAGCTGGACTATCTCTACCAGAAGTATCAGGTGGAGTCGAATCCATCGAGGAAGATGTTAGAGACGATCGCGCGCGAGGTCGGGCTGAAGAAGCGCGTGGTCCAAGTGTGGTTCCAGAATACCCGCGCCCGCGAGCGCAAAGGTCAGTTCCGAGCGCACAGTCAGGTAATCAACAAACGCTGCCCGTTTTGCCCGGCGCTGTTTAAGGTGAAGTCCGCGCTGGAGACCCATCTCAGCAGCAAGCACGCCGACCAAGTGGCGCGCGGCGAGGTGAACATCGACAATATACCAGACGAGGAGCTCTCGATGGAATCGGCCCCCTCCAATTCCAGCACTCCCAACATGATGCCGCCGATCTTCCCGCCGCTCACTAGCGACGTGGAGGCTTCCCTCAAGAGATATTACGAAGAGTCAATGAAGCGGTTCATCGAGCTGCAAGCGCACGCTAGCAACGGCAAGCAAGAAATTAACCACGGCGAGTCGCCATTAGATTTGAGCAAGCCAACCGTCGACCTCAGTCGTCCTATGATGAAGCTCAGTTTGGGTGGCTTGGGCAATCTCCTTGAAGAACAGCACGGAGCCCATTTTCGTGGAGGTAGCGACTGCGGGCCTCTCACCGATCTGTCTGAGCGCAGTGTCTGTGACGAAGACAGCATGAGTGAGACCACGGAGTTCCTGGACGACGAGAGCGGCCCGGCGAGTCCGGCGTCGAGCACCCAAAGCTCGAGGCAGGGACCCGCCAGCGGAAGCACTGGGAATCCTGCCGGCGGACCATCGGCTACCAGTGGCCAGTCTAGCGGTAGCACTGGTCAGTCCGGTGGTAAACGGTACCGCACACAAATGTCAGCCACGCAAGTTAAGGTGATGAAGTCGCTGTTCTCGGATTACAAGACACCGACAATGGCGGAATGCGAGATGCTCGGCCGCGAGATCGGACTACCTAAGCGTGTTGTTCAGGTGAGTTTGTAGTTTAGTCGTCGACTTACGACCATCGATCACCTTGTTTTCGAGCGAGCATTTCATTAGCATTGCGATTATCGGCGATTAACACGATCTTTCTCTGCACCGATCCGGTCGGGGCCCGACAGATTTTCGAAAAAGTACGTGTTAAGGGCAAATGTGTTTGCTCGTTTCTTTCATTGCTTCATTCATCGAAATGCAAAATGCGTCGTTGTATAAAAGTATAAAATAAATTTCGTCATCTTACATTCATTCAGTCTCGATCATTTTAGCGTTAATTTTTCCGTCTCGTTCGAAAATTTTTGTCTTTGGGATAAGATTGGCGGTTCAACTTTTGCTACACGCTGCAAGACACGCGTACCTGCATCCTCTCTCTCTCTCTTTCCCCTTTTTGTCTTTTTCAAAGTCGAAAAAATTCTAGAACAAACGAATATATTGGGTTGGCAATTAATTACGAATTTCACTGATAGATGGCGTTAGTTGAATTTTTAGGTATATTTACGTATTCGGATTGTCGAACCCGTATTGTTGTTTAATAATTGGTACTTCAATTGGCATTCAGTAAAAAAATTGTATCGATCGGTTGTGTAGTTTTTATTTGGTATCGGTTGAAGAATGGCAAAGTAAAACGAGCATTTTCATCATATTTTGCTGTCTTACTTCCGCAAAGGAAAAAACGCATTGCAAGCTCACAAAAAGTTATGTGCTGTGTATGGTGACAAAGCTTTAAAAGAACGGCAGTGTCAAAATTGGTTTGCTAAATTTCGTTCTGAGTGATTTTTCACTCAAAGATGAACAACGCTCTGGTCGTCCAGGTGAAGTTGATGACGACCAAATCAAAGCAATAATCGATGCGGATCGTCATAGCATAACACGTGAGATTGCAGAGAAGCTTGATGTGTCACATATATACAAAGCGTTGAAAAGCGTTTGAAACTACTTGACTGTGTAAAAAAACTCGATTTATGGATTCCTCCATGAATTTAAAGAAATTCACTTAACGCAACGCATCGCCATCTGCGATTTGCTTATGAAACGTAACGAAAATGGTCCATTTTTGAAACGATTGATAACTGGCGACGAAAAATAGGTTGTTTACACCAATGTCAATCGAAAAAAAGATCGTGGAGCAAGCAAGAATCAAGATGAACCAACGCAAACAAGTTGACATTCATCAAAAGAAAGTTATGTCATCAGTTTGATGGGATTACAAAGGAATTGTCTACTTTGAACTTTTACCACGCAACCAAACGATCAATTCAGATATATACATTCCACAACTAACCAAACTGAACAATGCAATTCCAGAAAAGCAACCAGAATTGGCAAATCGTATTGTGTTCCACTATGACAATGCAAGGTTACACACATCTTTGGTCCCTCGGCAAAAATTATTGGAGCTTGTTTGGGATGTGTTGCCACATCCACCATATAGTCCTGACCTTGCACCATCAAATTATTATTTATTTCGTTCTTTGCAAAACTTCTTAAATGGTAAGAATTTCAATAATGATGATGATGTCAAATCGCACTTGGTTAAGTTTTCTGCCAATAAAAACCAGAAGTTTAATAAACGCGGAATTATGATGCTGCCTGAAAGATGGCAAAAGGTCATTGATAAAAATGGACAATACATTACTGCATAAGGTTATTTCATTCCATGAAAAAATTGTCTTTTATTTTCTTCTAAAAAAATTCGCAATTATTTAGTTGCCAAACCAATAAATTCGCGACTAGAACTTGTTGACACTGGGTAAAGACTAACCGGAGATGAGGTGCAGGTCTGGTTTCAGAACGCCCGGGCCAAAGAGAAGAAGGCCAGACTAGCAGCTGGCCTTCCGGCAGAGGGATCAGCAGTGCAGCCACACCGCGGGCCGACCGGGCCCGATGAGTGTAGGTTGTGCTCCGTGCGTTATTCGGCCAAGACCCCTCTTCAAGAGCACGTGTTCTCGCGGCGGCATATCGAGTCAGTGCGTGTCGCTGTCGAAGAGGGCAGCCTCGTGCCACCCACGCCTGGGGCACCCATCGTAGTCGGCGGTAGTGGCGCCGTTGGCGTCTCAGGTATTGGCAACTCGTCAGTGGTCGCCGCTGTTAGTCAGCAAGTCAACCAGCAGCAGCAGCAGCAGCAACAACAGCAGGCGGACGAAAATATGATGTACGGATCCTTGTTCCTCCACCCTACGGCAATGTTCCAATCGCAGCAGCAGCAACACCCCGCAGGCGCTGCTACGAGCACAACTACGACCACGGCTGGTGAGTGTCTGGCTGACCTCTTAGACTCGTGAATAGGGACGGGATCAAGTACGAGCATTCGGAAGTAGTGTAACGCAGCACCACGCTCAAAACAAATGTAACGGAATATGGGGCAAAAGGATATTCAGGGCCAATGATTCTATCAGTCTATCCGGGGATGCATCGTGTCAGTTAGCCGGTCGAAACGATGGGATCGCAAAATGTTATGTGATACGTTTCTTATATCTAATACTTTCATTCGTACGACGGTACTTTTTATCGCAACTTATTTACCTGAAGAGAAAAATTTACCTGAGCAAAGAAATTACCTGTGAGAGAAAAAAGTTTATAATAAATAATATTTAAAGAGAAAGTGTAAATAAAACGCGCGCGCCTGTGAATTATTCTCGTTATATATCTTGTTATTATTATTCGTTAACACACATATAAATATATACTTATATATGCAAACACTTGAAAAACGAGACGTCAACAACGAGTGCCAGTCTAGAAGAGCTCTTTTGGCTCTCGCAGTCAAGTTGATCCTCTCGACTTTATTGACCTAAAGACGTACAAATTGACATTTTTTTTTAGATTATTAACAATTTTGACAACTTCCCATCGCGAATAAGATAACGCTACGAGAAAAAAAAAAGAAAGAAAAGAAAGAAAGAAAGAATGAAAGAAAGAAAGAAAGAAAGAAACAAGATATCGTCCCAGATAGAAGTGTCTTGAACTTGAGCCTTTTCCTTGCTTTTGAATGCATTTGCTGAACTTCGATAAAAGTGTTAAGCCGATCACCGGTTCGCGACGGCTGTTTAGTTATCGCTGTTTGGTTCATATTGCATCATACCTCAAGAACCGCGCTCTTGTTCATCGTCAGACGCTCTCAATCGTGACGTATCACCGTGATATTTAGGAACGCCATTCCGCTTTTAACGAAATGATGTGTAGCCGTGGAATCGGGCAAGATTCACGAGCGAGATACCGAACTTGATCCCATCCCGACTCATGAGCGAACGTAGGATGCCAGTGAGGTTCGAAATTCGTCACTGATCGAAACGAGCGGATTTCTCGTGTTTATCGCTTCGTATCCTCCCTACGCAAAGAAGGGCGAGCGAAACGCTCGATGCGCGTAACGGAGGATATCCGAAGGGAAAGAGCGCTCCCGGTCAAAAAAAGTTTCGCCTCTCTGCCACACCAGTGCGCTTACCGTTATGAGCTCACGAAGAATGATCTTGTAATGTTCGTGTTCTCTCGTTGATGTTCCACACTAATGGACTAGCGCCGCGACAAGGAATTTCGAACTTGCGGGCGTTACGTCGTTGTATGTTGTGTACGTATCCTTTGTGTATCGCGTGTCACTTTATCTTTATCAGTGTAAAATCGGGCCTGTGTGATATCCTAGGGGGCCCAATCACAACTGCGGCTTGCTTGGAATATTTGTCAAGATTTTTATATATAAAAAAAAATATATATATATATATAGCCCGAATATATATAATATATCCAGAGCTAAGCGCAATACTGAAAGTTCCTATGAGATGCCTATTTTAGTGTGAGCGTGAGAATGAAGGCAATGAAGTAAAACAATAAGTAATCTGCGTGTGCGACTGCGAGAGTAAGAGTGAACATTTGAATGAGAGACGAATATGTGTGCAGAGTTAAGTGGAAATCGATTAAATCTAATTGAATTTCTTTTCTTTCTTTTCTCTTCCTGTTTTATTTTATTTTATTTTTGTTTTCGTTTTCCTTTCTTTTCGTTTCCCCTCCGAGGAAACGGATATTTTGTAATCAGTAGCAAGTTTTGCCTGTACGCTCCAACGAGCGCACTGTATATTTCCAAATTACGCGTTGAAGCTATTTTTATTATTACTACATCTTACACACGTAAGGTTTAGCCTTGTCTATTTGAGTTACGCCAAGTATTTCGATCGAGAGCGTAGTATAGCGCCGGAGAGAAGAGGGAGAATACATTTTATTTTATATATATATATATATATATATATACATACATATATATATATATACATATAAATATAAATATACATATATACATATATATATTTAAGTTCTTATCATCGCGACATATCCTCCCGTCATTATGATCGACATTACTTATGCGAAGCCATTCCAACATCTCGACGCCTTCCCCCCTCCCCTCCCCTCTCCCCAAGACCCCAATTTCTCTCTCTCGCTGCGCGTCCAGCGCACGGACAAAACTGTACATACTTCGCAGATCCTCGCTCGGGTCCGGGATCTGGGGCCGTATTCTGCTTCTTCCGCGCTGAAGCAACGTCACGCGTGTATGACGCACTCATATACGTGACAAAGGCAAAATTTGGATCGACCGGATATTTATCGTTCGCTACGTGTCCAGAACACGGCCGCGAGACAGAGAGCTCGTTCTCGCGGGCGCCCATCGGACGGTACCGGGCCAGGCGAAGAAAGAGAAACTCACGCGAATAACGAATGATGATTTAGGCTGGCTTCACTGGCGTGCACACGCATATGTGTACGCGTGCAAAAAGATCGTCAGTCGTTACACACGAGTACGCGCTCTCTCAGCCCGGTGCTCGGCCATTGCATTACGTCCTAAGGCTTTCGACGATACCGAATCGCGTTAGCGTTAACAAGCACCGTTCCCATCGTCGCCGCGCGTCGCGCCATGACGCGTTTGTCTGCCATTAACACGACGACGAGGACGATGACGACGACGACGACGACGACGACGACGACGACGACGACGACGACGTCGATCACACGCCCGTAAGCACTATTAATTATTATTTTGTTTTTGCGCGTTAGTTATTTATGATGAGCCTCCTTTGTGATGATCACGCTCTCGTCTGCCCACGCGTCCGATTGGACTCGGAAACCGGATGTCTCGACCTTGAACAGCTGGCGGTGCGCGCGCGCGCGTCCGTTTACTTCTCTCTCTTTCTCTCCCCCTCTTTCTCCCTTCTCCTTCGGATTTATTTTATTTTACTTTGCGTATTTGTAACTGACGAGGGTGTGGCTTCGCTTCTCGCTTTCCTTTCCTCACCCACACGATACGTATACACGCTCATTCATTTCAGCTACGTAAGTACACCCGCGTATATGTACAATGTTATTCACATCGAAACACATAGTCTCTTCACCGCGATAACTTTTATGTATATAGTTTATCATTATTATTATTATTATTATTATTATTATTATTATTATCATTATTATAATTATTATATAGTTATTATCTATTAATTATTATTATTATTTTATATTATTAATATTATATTATTTTTCCTCTAGTCTAAAATAAATGTATTACAAAATTATCTTTTCTGTTTTCTTCTTGTGTTTTGCAAATTTTTAGTTTCCCACACCTCACAAATATCCTCTCTTGATCTCCGTCACTGGAGGATTGCATCGAAAACACTTTGGTAAGTCGCGATTGTTGCGGATCGTGTCGTTTAACTGGATCGGAACGAGCGGAGGCAAACGGCGCAATTGCACGTTCCCCGACTCTGAAATTTTCGGATAAATTTGAGTGACCGTAAAGGGGCGCTCTGAAAATGTTCGCTGACACATGTCTCGTCGTCTCAATTGAATACCAGTCGTATTAATATGCACGTGAAAAAATATTGTAGCAAATATTACAACAATCTCTGCAATCCTGCGGAGAAATGTGACCGAAACTACATACCTGTTTAAAAATACCACACTTGTCGGTTTTTACCACGCTATATTGCAGTCACCCGAATGTTTCGTCTTCTGTCGTTTACTATTTCTCCGATAATTCGCACTGCAGTATCGATACGGTCCAGCTTGGCAAAACTATCGTGAAACAAAATATAATATCAACGTAATTTTTACTGCAATATTTTCTCCGTGCAACTGCGACGTTCAATTGCAAGTCTACGTCTGATACCGTAAGCTCGTATTTCTGCTCAGTCAACAAAAATTAACGCGTTACCGAGCGGCTGTGCTTTCAACATTGCCCGACCCTTGTTCTCGGCGCACAACTTTTTCTCACAAACCACCATAAACTATATTGTCGAAACCCGAGACAACTCGTGATCGGTCAACACGGCGGTGCTAAGATCCCGAAGAAATCGGCACACACGGCATTGATCGCCCACTAACCAAGCCTACGATCGCGATCGTAGCGGCGGATCACGGGTCGGATTAGTAGCGCTGTAAACTGGCAGACTAATTCGCATCCGCTTAGTAAATGAAAAGTGACAGGGAAGCACTAAGGTGACCCGTTCTCGCTCGAGGGCCGTCGCCGCTCTCGATGGTGGCTCTCGAATCATTTTTCTACCCGACGGGACGATTCTGCTTGCGCGGCGCAAAATGGAATCGGGAGATTCCATCGATCAAATCCAAACAGGCAAAGACCAGTCGAATGAGACCGACGAATAATTACAATACAACAAGGCTCTCGGAGGTCTTGCGATCCGAGAAAGTAGACTTTCCGCGGGCGTCACGATCGTTTTCTTCTCTCTCCTTCCCTCCCTCCTTCCCTCTCTCATGCTTTCTCTCTCTCTCTCTCTCTCTCTCTCTCTCTCTCGCCGACAAGCGCGATGGAGAAGCTAAAGATCGACCCAAGCAAGACGGAGATAAGCATCGGGGATCGGCGAAGCCGCGCGAGATAAATCGAGGAATCCAACGTGCCCGTTCAACGTCAGTCCGGCAAAAAGCGCGAGTATTAATTAGTCGCGGTGATTTTTCGAGGCGTCTCTCGGGGGCCGCAACAAAAGCGACGCGGCCAAGAGATACGCGACGACAACAAGACCCAACGACGACGAGGAGATCGCGCGGTATACCATTGTGCGCGTGGTCATGGCCGTTCATCGACAGTCCGGCTCGGCGTCCGCCGGCTTCGATAAAATTCCCCAAACGACCGAGGCGATCGGTCGCCCTGAATTGAAGAAGGAGACGCACGGAGTGGAGAGAGCGAGAAAGCGAGAGCTAGAGAGAGAGAGAGTGAGAGTGAGAGGGAGGGAGAGAGAGGGAGAGAGAGAGAGAGAGAGAGA